GAATCGCATTTCAGGGCTGCAGGTGGAGCATCCGTGACGTTGAACATGTCGTGGATAGCACATTCAGTGAAGTAGTCACGTCACAGCTGAAGTCTGAATAGGCAGATAGGGCACAAGTGAGCACCAGGCAAGTACAGAAAGACAGATAATGCGAAAAATCCTCTGTGGCCATCCTTCTTTCTAACAGATATGCCATTTTGGATATTGTTGGGGTAGATAACTGTGCAGGGGAATGCAGTGGGAACAAACTTCATGGCAGCATGGGAGGGTCTGCTGCAAAACAGGACAGGAAGAAGAACAATACAGGTGTAGTGGTAGGGGATTCAATTGTTAACATTAAGTTAACAGACATCATTTCCACATTCACAGAAGAGACTCCAGGATTGTCTGTTGCCTCCCTGGGCCTGGATTAGGGCAAACAGACATATCTTGGTATCAACAGCAAAGGAAGAAAAAAGGGATGAGATCCTGCGAGCAAAATTCACGGAGCTAGAAAAATGATGAAAAAAAGGACCCGAATGGTAGTATTCTCTGGTGCCATGTATGAGTGAGCATAGAAGTACGAGGTTAGTCCAGATGAATGGAGAGCTAGACAGACGTTCCAGGGAGGGGTGGGTTTCAATTTCTGAGACTGTCCCCAAAAACAATCCAAGTGGGACCTGTACCAGGTAGACCGGTTGTACTTGAACCGGAATGGGTCTGGCATCCTTACAGTGAGGTTTGCAAGTGCTTATGGAGATGGTTTAAACTAATTTGACAGGGATGTGGGATCCAGTAGGGGGAAATGAAAAGCACGTTTGAAAGAGCCAGCAAGTAAATCAAGACGGCATACAAATTATAGGCCATTTAAGGCTCAAGGGAGTTTAGCAAGGTTGGATGGTACCTGTATTTATATTAATGCAAGGAATTTCACAAACAAGCCAGATGAGTGAGGGCACAAATTCAAACATAGGAGTATGATGTCATTGCTGTTACTGAGAATTGGTTGAAAGGGGGTCAGAATTAGCAACTCAATATTCCAGGATACAAGGTTTTCAGGCAAGACAGGGAAGGAGAGAAATCATAATGAGGTTGCAGACTTGCTCGCTGAGCCAGTGTGTCTGATTGCAGACATTTCGTCACCCTGCTAGGTAACATAGTCAGTGTGCCTCCAGTGAAGCGTTGGTGTTGTGTCCCGCTTGTTATTTATATGTCTCCGTTTGCTGCTGTGGTTGGTATTACTTCAAGTTCTGTTTTTCAGTGGTTTAACTGGGCAATTAGGGATGGATAATAAATACTAGCCTGGCCAGTGACGCATATATTCTGTCGGTCAATGAATAAATAAAGACACACAGCAATGTGATTGTCTCTTTACTGCACTCTGGCCAATACGGATGGACAATAAATGCTAGCCTAGCCAGCAACGCCCACATCTCGTGAACAAATAAAATAAATTACAAGAGTAGATAAAGGAAATTTCAGAAATATACAAAAAGTAATAACAGTGATATTGGAGGATTTCAACTTCCCCAAGATTAATCTTCTTTTAAACCAGTACACACAAGTCCTGGCAAGTCTGGCGGGGGGGCGGGGGGAGTTCCTGAACTTAATTTTAGATAATGAAATCAGGCAAGTAGTTGAAATATCAGTGGGGGAGCATTTTGCAGACAGCAATCATAACTCCACCAGATTCAAGACTGTTATGGACAAGGACAAAGATGGGCTATAAATCAATGTCCTAAAACTGGGGTGGGTGAGGGGATCCAATTTTAATATAATCAGTTAGAATTTGGCCACAGTGGACAGGAAATAGATACTTTTACATAAATCTGTGTCAGAGCAGTGGGACCCATTCAAGAACGGAATTAGGGACAGATCAGCATGTTCCCAAAAAGACGGAGAGTGGGGCCAACAAATCCAACAACCCTAGAGATAGAAGGATATACTGGATTGGATAAAGAGAAAAACGGAAGCTTGAAAAAAAATCTACAGGGCTGGATGAAATATATCTCAGGGTGTTAAGTGAAGCAAGGGAGGAAATAGCAGGGGTGTTCGTGATAATTTACAATTCCTCTCTGGCCATATGGGAGGTGCCAGAGGACTGGAAGACAGCCAAAGTAGTACTGTTATTCAAGAAGGGAGCAAGGGTGAAAGCAGGAATCTACGGGCCAGTCAGTCTAGCCTCAGTGGTGAAGAAACGACTGCACATAATTTTGAAATAGAATTAATCTGCACTTGGAGAGGCAGGATTTAATCAAGAACAATCGGCATAGTTTTTTTTTAAAAGGGGAGATCATGTCTGACCAACTTGAGGCAAAGGTTTACCAGATGGCTCTGACGTATGAGGAGAGGTTGAATTGGTTAGGATTATATTTTCTGGAGTTCAGAAAAATAAGGGGAATCTCAGAAACTTATAAAATTTTAACAGGACTAGACAGGGTAGGAGCAAAAAAGGTTCCTGATGGTGGGGGAGTCCAGTACCAGTGATCACAATCTGAGGACATGAGGTAAACCACTTAGAAATGAAATGTGAAGAAATTTCTTTACCTAGAGAGTGGTGAGCCTGTAAAATTTGCCAGCATAGAAAGCAATCGAAGCCAAAACGATGTATGATTTCAAGAAGGAGAGGAATATAGTATTTGGGACTAAAGGGATAAAAGGTTATGGGGTCAGAATGGGAACAGGGTACTGAATTAGATGAGCTGCCACGATTATAATTGTGGAACAGACTCAAAGGGCCAAATGGCCTACTCTTGCTCTTATTGTCAATGTTTCTACTTAAAACTACATATATACCCCTAAGGGGCAACAGTTATGGTCGTTAAATACAAGTCACAGTTTACAAAAGGTGTGAACCATAACACAGAGAGCCAGCGAGATGTGTTAAAAAAGCAAAGGACAACAAAGTAATTGAATGGATTGCAAAGAAAATTTTGGAATGGGTATCAAAACTCTCAAAAAGGGTTTTATAGCTGATCTGAACAACAGATAACGGTAACATTGATCCTTTTAAAAACAGATGAAGTCAACACTGTAAATTAAAATCAAGTATGGCAGACTTGTTTTATAATTATTTTGTTCACCTTCATTGTAGAGGATAAATATATTTGACATTCCAGAGAAACTACTATTCAATAAAGACCTGAAACCAATTAAAATTAGTATGAAAAAACATTAAAAACAAACTACACTCAGGCAGTCAACGTGGATTTTTAAGCTCAAGTTTTTAGAACGGCACCTGGACCCTCAATCTTTTTGCATCTCTGCCAACTGAACCACAACGACTCAAAACTGGAGGTAGCTATTACGAGGGGGCATAGTTTTAAAGTGAGTGGAGGTAGATATAGGGGAGACGTCAGACGTAGGTTCTTTACTCAGAGTGGTAGGGGCGTGGAATGCATTGCCGGAGAGGGTAGTGGAGTCGGCCTATTTAGGGGCATTTAAGCGGCAATTAGATGGGCATATAAGTGGCAATTAGATGGGCATATAGATGATAGTATAAAGGTAAGAGTGGAGGTTAGATAGACCTTAGGTTTAGAACAAAGAACAAAGAAAATTACAGCACAGGAACAGACCCTTCGGCCCTTCAAGCCTGCGCCAATCCAGATCCTCTCCCTAAACCTGTCGCCTATTTTCCAAGGATCTGTATCCCTCTGCTCCCTGCCCATTCATGTCTGTCTACATACATCTTAAATGACGCTATCGTGCCCGCCTCTACCACCTCCGCTGGCAATGCGTTCCAGGCACCCACCACCCTCTGCGTAAAGAACTTTAGGATTTAGGGTAAAAGTTTGGCACAACATCGTGGGCCGAAGGGCCTGTGCTGTGCTGTACTGTTCTGTATGCTAAAGCATTAGGCAGGAGAATATTTATTGAGAGAGTTTATATGGATTTCAAGGTGACATTAAGATTCTAAATAAGGCACTAAAATACTAGCTGAAATTAAAAGGAACTGAAAGTCAATTCTTTCTCTTGTTTAGTAGAAGACAAGATGGAAACTGGAGTAATGGGCATGTACTCCAATTGGAAATTGCCCACCTGTGCTCCACATGGATCCCTGCTGGAGCTTTAGTTATTCACCATATTTATCAATGATTTTGATAACAGAATAGTAAGCTATATGTCCAAATTTGCCAATGATATTAACACTGGCAATATAGTAATTATGTAGACAGGAACATAAAATTGGAGACATTGGTTAGTTGATGAGGCAAAATGTTGGCAGATCAATTTCAACATAACCACTCTAATTTTGGAATCAGCAAAGAATATTTACCATTTATTCAATAAATAGAACAATAAAGAAGTGGAAGTTTATCACTTTACAAATGGCAAAAATCTTCTCTTTTAATTCTCACAAAGTTAGATCTTTGGCTGTTCAAATCTGAGAAAGTCTATGCAGATTTTTAACTACATGTGCTGGTTTACACAAATGGATACCCTTATGTTATTCCCTTAACCGTTCCAATTGAACTCCTTTTCCATAGTGAAACTAATTTTATAGCTGACTTCAGTTAGGCTTCCTTAAGCCGAATTCAGAAGTCTTTCATGAAACTTTAAACAAAAACTCACCCATCCTAGCTTTTGCTAAACTAATGGCTTAATTTAATAGTTTTTCCTACTGTTGTAGAATCCTACAATCTAAACAAACTTCCATTTGCTCCCCAAGATGCTTCTAGTCATCTGCTTTCTCACACATACTGCTTTAAAATGAGGGTTCTAAAAAGATACTGGCCTAGTTAAATCACTTTACACAAAATAAAATTGCCACTAGCCCTGAAATCTAACCTTTTAAAAGAAAAAGGTAAGATAAATCAAGAACTGCAGATGCTGGAGTGAGAGATAACAAGGTGTGGAGCTGGAGGAACACAGCAGGCCAGGAAGCATCAGAGGAGCAGGAAAGTTGACGTTTTGGGTTAGGACCCTCCTTCAGAAAATGAAAACATAAATCACACCCCTTTGGTCACAATAATAGAACAGTCTTGAAGGGTTGAACAGATTCTAGGTTTTTGAGAACGTACCTTAATTGACTGACAGAAGAATATTTTTTATCTTGGACAACCACTTTGTGTAGTTCCAGCAATAGCTCATGAACTTTTGCCTCATTTCTTGCTTTGAACTCCTGGATGTTTTTTGTTGTCAGTTCTAAAAGCTTCATGTTAGTATGGAAAAGCCTGCAGGCATAACACGTGGCCATTGCTGTTTCCATCTTGTCTCCTGTGAGTACCCAAACGCACATACCTGCAGAGCGCAAGGCTTCAACTGTTTCTGCAGCTTGGTCTTGGAGTCTTTTCATAGGGGAAAGAAATAAAGCAAAGCAATTAGAATTCTCTTTTAAGGATGTTTTTGAACAAAAAGTCAAGAAGCAGTCTGTTAGACAGTCTTCTTCCCAAAATTACTAGGTGTGTTTACCAAAACATTAAGTTGAATTTTACATTTTTTTGGCTAAGTGCGAGTTGCATCAAGTTTTTAAAGGATTCTTGCCATGACGCCCAGCAAGTTTACTTGCTGTATCTTACCAAATGTGCCTCGTTTACTACCCAGCCTGTCCCTACTGTGTCCCTCATGTCAGATTTGATCTCCATCTTATCTCATGCCTTATCTGGGACAAATTACCATTACTGGCATGGCTCAGATTTGGGACAGGTGCGCCTGATACCCGTTATCCTTAAAAATCTGTTGTGCAACCAGACAAGTGCTGTCAGTACAAAGCTGAGCCATGCATGGTTCCTGACATTTACCCTATACACGGTGGGTAGGGCTAACTGTCACACAATATTGCAGGCAGGGTCTAGACCCTGTTGAATGTGGCGGTGCAAACATGGGACTTCCTCTTCCCCCAGAACCAGCAATGGGGGTTAAAACACCACATTATGCCACCCAGGTTAGTGCAGTCTCAATTTTCAGTGGAAATGCCCAGCAATGCTCTTTTTCACTCCACCAGCAGAACTGTCAACATCTTCCTTCCCTTACCTCTCTGCTACTGGACACCCCACACCCGACCAAACCAAGATTCATGCTGCATCACTCTCACTATTACTTGTAACATCTCTCCTACTTGCTCACACATCCAAAATCCAATGCCATTAACCCTGTATGGATCCAAGCTATGCCTGCCTCTTCGTAAGATATGTGGAGCAGCAGGCCCTCTTCCATGGTTAGACTGGCACTATCTCTCACCTCTTCCTGTGCTAAATTGGTGACTGTACCAGCGATGCCTCGTGCTCCCATGAGGAGCTTGAACAGTTCATCGACGTTACTGACACCTTTCACCCCAAACTCAAATTCACCTGGGCTATCTCTGAAACCTCCCTCCCCTTCCTGGACTTCTCCATCGCCACCTCCAATAACTGTCTCAGCACCAACATCTGTTTCAAACCCATCGACTTCCACAGTTACCTTGACTGTAATGTGGAGGTGTTGGATAGGAGTGGACGAGGGTGGAAATCACATGACACCAGATTATAGTCCAACAGGTTTAGTTGAAAACACAAGCTTTTGGAGTCTTACTCCTTCTTCAGGCGTTAGTGAGAGATCAAAGGGTAGCACCACTGATGAGGATGTACTAAACAAATATATTAATAGATATAAACATACATATACATATTAATCAATTAAAACCCATCAGATTAAAGATTTAGCAACATCTTAGGTTTGTTTAGTACATCCTCATCAGTGGTGTGACCCTTTGATCTTTTATGTATAAATTCTGTGCCTGATATTACTTCTCTCACTAGCACCTGAAGGAGGAGTAAGACTCCGAAAGCTTTTACTTTCAAATAAAGCTGTTGGACTATAACGCAGTACCTTGACTACATCTCCTTTCACCCAATCTTCTGCAAGAATGCGAAACCTTACTCCCAATTCCTCCGCCTCCACTGCACCTGCTCCCAAGATGGAGTTCCGTTCCTGGACATCCCAGACGTTTCCCTACTTCAAGGACCGCAACTGCTCCCCTCCGTCGATTCATAACGCCCTCAACTGCATCTCTTGCATTTCCCACACTTCTGCCCTCAAAACCCCTCCCCCCAACAACAACCAGGACAGAGTCCCTCTGGTCCTCACATACATACCGCCAACTTCCGCATCCAGCACATCATCCTCCGCCACTTCCGCCACCTACAATCTGACCCCACAACCAAAGAGATATTTCTCTCCACACCCTTATCTGCCTTCCGTAGGGACTGCTCACTCTGCGACTCCCTCATCCGCTCCACACTCCCCACCAACCCCACCACACACCCGGCACCTTTCCCTGCAACCGCAGGAGGAGCTACACCTGCCCCTACACCTCCCCTCTCACCTTTGTCCAAAGGCCCCAGACAATCTTTCCAAATATGACAGGGATTCACCTGTATATCCTCCAACCTGGTCTACTGTATCCATCGTTTCCAATGCGGTCTCCTCTTTTTTGGTGAGACCAAGCATAGATTCAGTGACCAGTTTGCAGCATATCTGTGCTCTGTACGCTATAATCAATAGTGTCTTCCGGTTGCCAACCATTTTAACTTGCCTTCCCATTCCCTCGGTGACATGTCCGTCCTGGGCCTCCTCCAGTGTCACAATGATGTCACACGCAAACTGGAGGAGCAACACCTCATATTCCCCCTCGGGAACTTACAGCCAGATAGCCTCAAAATGTAGAGACAACAAAGGTGCAGAGCTGGATAAACACAGCAGGCTAAGCAGCATCATAGGAGCAGAAAGGCTGACGTTTCGGGCAATTCACCAGTTTCAAAATCTCCCCACCCTCCGGCCTCATCCCATGTCCAATCCTCCCTCTCATCTCTGCCTCCTTGACCTGACACATCCTGTCCATCTTCCTTCTTACCTATCCACCCCACCCTTCCCACTGACCAATCTCCACTAGCCACTACCTGCATCCACCTATCACCATCCCACCCACCTTCCCCCAGCCCCAACTCCCTCCCTCTATTTATTTCTGCGCCCTATTCCCCGCCTCCCCAGTCCTGGTCAAGGTGCAAACCCGAAACATCGACTTTCCTCCGATACTTCCGGACCTGTTGTGTTCCTCCAGCTCCACACTGTTGACTCTGACTCCAGCATCTGCAGTCCTTGCTATCTCCTGCCCTCTGTGCTGCCTACTCACTTACACAAGACACCTCCCCACCTGCACCAGAAGTATGATCTGTACCATTCAACTTCCTCTTCCATTGTAATTGCCTCTCTCCTTCCAAGAGGATAGCAGCAGCCAATTGAGAAGAAAAAGAGTCAAGGTTGCCCTATATTTGGCTCCTCACCCCTTAAGAGGAGATGATTCTGACTTTGACTGCCCTGAACTGCTAAGTGACCATGTCCAAGCCCTGGACTGGTAATAGAGGCTGCCCTTAACTTACTGTGCTGGGACTCCCTGATCAAAGGCTATCACTCTTGATTTGACTCTAGGCTTGCAGAAGACTATGACAAGCTTCTCGTCTTTGGATCTTTACAAAATAGCAAGGCAAGACAGAAGTAATATCGGTCTGGTATCTCTTGCTAAGGGGACAAAGTGTACAAAAGCAAGGCAGATAGTGCCAAAGTATTCGGAGTCTTTGAGCAAACAGCCCAGAGAAGCAGCCTGGTCAAGTCCACAAACCGGGTGTGTCCCCTCGAGCACAGTGTTATTACAGTAGCACTGCAATTACAGCTGCCAGTACAGCACAAAAGTGTAGAAGCATCTGGTAAGTGGATCAGAAATGTGCCAAGAGGGTTATTAGAGGCTGGCACATGTCAGATGCCAATGTCTCTGGACATGGGTGCATGTGGTTCGTGGCTATGGAACCTGGCCTGAGATGCTGGTCTGCAGTATCCAACATGGAGGTCTTTTGGAGCAAGTAACGAACTGATGTAAGTCAGGGCAGGTACCTGGCAACATGTTGTGATTTCTCAATATCTAGTTTGTAAAATAGGAAACTGAATATCAATGAGCTGAGTAGGGCTATGAACAAGGTGTTTAACAAGCCATAATCCTCTTCGTCTTAGCACTTTGTTAAAGAATAAAAGACTGAGTGAGATGCTCCCATTTCGACATAGATCTCACTGGACTTCTCATCCAATTCTGCCACAAACCTCTCCATAGCCTACCCAATTGTTCAGACCCCAATAAGATCCTCCCATTGAGTTTAAATTTTACTTTGGCCGGTTTTCAAATAAAAACGATTAAAACAGCTTTTTCGCTGCCACCCAGACCAGACAGGCACAATTCATTTATGTAACAGAAACAGCTGGAAACACTCAGGTGGTCAAGGCAGTGTCTGTGGAAAGAAGATGTAGGTAAATGTTTCAGGTCATTGATAATTCATCAGAATTAGCTGACAAGCAGTCGTCCATTTGAAACATTAGCACTCCTTTCCTTGCACCAGAGACGTTTCTGGTAACAGTCAAGGTCAGGCATTTTCGGTTTTCCTTTGGGTTTCTAAGCATCTACAGCAAATTTAATTTTATCTCCTAACATAGGTTTATTTACGAAAAATTCAGATACCAAGGATATGAGTAGATAGAAAGTTGTCAATAATTGTGTTGAGAACTGGGAAGTGAGTATTCGCAATGATGTAACCTGCTACCTGGCTTTGTGGCTATAACTACATTAAGGTTGATTACAAATTTCCTTCTACAGACGTCATTATTGACACTTGATACTTCATCAGACACCCTGAGTGAATTTAGAAACTTTTGGCTTTCCCCTGGTGTTTAGTCATGTTAAATCAATTTCTGATTCTGCAACCCTAAACCTATCACATATCAAGAGTACAAACATTTTAATATACCCAGTTCCTAACATGGGCCTGAGTTTCTTTTACAAAATAAATTTTTGAATGGAGATGTCTATTATGTTACTTTGATTTTACATGTCATCTTTAACGTAAAAATAGAATAATGTTGCAAATAGAGAAATAGAAACTTTGCAAATAAGCAGCTCTGTTTCATGCAAGAGGTTCAAATACAATGCTTTTGAATACTATCAGCAATAATTTTCTAGATTTTTTTGAAATATTGGATTTTACAGTACTAATTTTCCACATAATAGCAAAGCAACAGGACATTCTGACTGTTCATCAGTGCCGTGCTCCATGAATACTGCTCCCAGCTAGGAGACTGCTCATTTAAAAAGTTAAAATGTTAGCTGCTGGAAATACGAGAAGTTTTGACGAAAGCACATATGCTATTGAACCATCCACATGGTTTTTATTTCTGCATTAACAGAAATGAGATGTTTCATGTGTGTGCACACTTCAAGTCAAAGAGAATATATCAAAACACCTGCAACCCGATTACAGACTGTTGTTTGATCTGATGTCTAATTACAGAACAGTGTTTTTATTTCTGCTCCAGCAAACAGTGGTGTATCTTGCACATGAGTGACAACACTGGCTGGGAGAAAGTTAGTTGTTGCCATCCTGGGAGACTTCTAATACAGAAGGTATTAAGAACAGTTTTAATCATTTTGGCAATATGTGAAACCTGGCCTCTGTATAGTTATAATTATAAATTTTGTAAAGGACTCATTTCTTCTGCCCATGTCCTTTGAAACAGGACTTCATCAGGTCATTTGGTTTTCATAATTTTGTGAAACAGCAATGGTATCACGACTACTTCAGAAGGACAATAAACACATTATAAAGGTAAGGTAGAAGATTCAAAATTGACGATCGAGAGTTATAAAAGGTCAGATCAGACTGGTCTACCTCCAACATTCTAACTAAAAACACCATTGAGGAGATAATTTTAAAGTATGAGTTTAACTTTACAATAAACAACATTTGAATCATGGGTTAATTTACGTAGCACACAATTTGTAAGAAACAGGCATGTTATTGAACTGCAATCCAAATTCCTTGATCAAAAATAAGAACAACTGCAAATGTTAGCAACATCCATGTGTGGTGCTTGAGCATTAGGGATGCTGGTGAGCTCCACAGGTTATTTAGTGTCTTATCTTGACAGTGGGGAAATGATAAAAAGAGGCAAGTTATAGTTCTCCTGGTCAAGCTGGGTGCAGAGCAAAACAAAAGTCATCATTCAATCACCAATTTCTATCACTCAGCTATGTATTGCATTGATAAAATATGTATTCTAATAAGACCTCTATGACAACAGATTGGCTGCTTATCCAGAATATTATACTGTAACACAATTTAAGAGCAAATAGAGGCTTACTTGTCTTCAACAGCTGTTGCACCAATTAAATGTAAATCGATTTCAATCTTTTCATAAACTTCTGCCAACTTTTTGTCTCTATCCTTCAGGGTCATTTTAGCTTCCTGAAGCTGTGCGCTGATCTGGTCATATTCATCTTGAGTGAGTTCTTTGTATGCGACACAGAGTGTCCTCAAACCATCCTAGTCATATGGAATTACAGCATAAAACATGCAGGAATGATTTATTTCTCCCTGTCAGTCTTACATAAATACCAAATTGTGTTACCTCGCACAAAAAATTTAAAATATCTCAATCAAAGAACCTTGGTCAGTTTAAAGTATGTAAAACAGAGAAAAAAAGTCACATTATTTCTTATTTAACAAAAATCTGTACCTTTTGAGGAAGACTATTATTATTATTAACAATTAAATCAGTAATGGATATCAAACAAATAGTACAAGTTCACATTTTTTTCCATCCTAAAATACATTCAATTTTTTTGTCATTGCCAGTAAACGTCAGCATGAGATACTGTAACAGCAAACTTAAAAAGTTAAGAAAGTTGTTCATATTCAGTTTCTGAACATAAAATTTCTTTCAGTGGTAAAAATCATAGAATAATACAGCACAGGAGGCAGCCATTCAGTCCATCATGTCTGTGCCAGTTTTTGAAAGAACTATCAAAAAAGTTCCACTCCCCAGCTGTGACCCATTGCCCTATTTTTTTTTCCCCCTTTAAGCAGTCATCAATTTTCCTTAGCAGGGTAGTCATGTTTTCAAATTTGTTTTTCTCCAAATGCAAGAGGATACTTTAGCAGAAGGCAAGAGGATAATTTAAATCATGCAAGAAAGGTAACACATCAGCAATATTTTCAGAATAACCTTCAACTGTAACCAACGTGATTTTTCCTTCATGTTGCATCATCAGTGTTCGTGTGAGGTTGGATAGGCTTTGGAAGATTCAACTATGTGCTTCTTTGGTTTTACTTTTGCCCGTTTTGTTACAAAAACAACTTCACTATCTGAAACACCAAAAAGAACTGTGGATATTGGAAACACAAACACAAACAGAAACTGCTGGAAAAAGCTGAGTATGTCTGGCAGCACGTGTGGAGAGAAAGCCGTGTTAATGTTTTGGGTCCAGTTCTGAAGAGTAACTGGATCCGAAAGGTTAACTCTGCTTTCTCTTCACAGATGCTGCCATAACTGCTGAGCTTTTCCGGCAATTTCTGTTTTTATTTCACTATCTGCCCTTCAAGCCACTTGTTAAATTCACAACTGAAAACAAAGTTGAAGAAAATTAAGGGAGATTAACAAATAGCACCTTGAAAGCTCCTCGACAGAGCGTTACACAACAGTTCCCATCCCCCCCATTCCTCTACCACCCACAGCACAAAACATGAAACTGAAATACGTTCATATATGTACAAAAATAAGGATTATTTGCAAAGCTACCTCACAGGCTAACGTTCAAATGGACTACATAAACACATCTGACCTTACCACAGCACTGCACTCTACATGCAGTCTTATTTCTTCCTGTTTTCCAGCATTCACTTTTGGAAAAATTGAAGAGTCTGCTCCTTTACAGAAAAGGAAAATTCTCCCTATTATATCAGGAGACAAAATTATATGTCATAAAAATAGGTAAAAGTTAGGATTTTATATACAACAGATTTTAATACATGTTGACTGTTATTTAATGAAGTTACACCATACCCAAGTATTTTTCTAATTTGCAATTTTATATCATGCTTTCTTGGAGTACATGTAAATCCACTTTCTTTTTTTTAACAAACTATTTTCCTTAACAAAAAGGACACACTACCTGAATTCTCTTTCACAATTACACTCATACGTCGACGAACAGGGTCAAAGCTAAGAACCTGCAGAAGTTCATACCTGGAACCAAAACAGAACACATTCTATTTGTTTATTTAAAAAAAATTTAGGCAACAAAGATTGATATGCAAATTCACTGAATTATACCAAAGTCAGTCCACAGGAAAAAATGGACAATCACAGGCCACTTAATAAAGATCAATTCACAGGTTAAATTCATTGCTACTTTTTTTTCCTTTGTGTTTCAGATTGTTCATGTCCCCCTGAACAGAATCCTAGAATGATACGGCAATAACAGGAGGGCGGACATTCACTGCCAGTTCTTTGGAAAATCCATCCAATTAGTCCCATACCCTGGAATTGTATCCACATTGTTGCTGGAATGATCATACAACTTTTTTTAGGACCTGAGGTCTAATGCAATCCTCCAGGTCACAGATATCATCTCTGTATTTGGTGTTGATGACTTTCAATTCTTAATTCCCTCAGAAATCCAGCTTGCATCCTCTCTGGAGCAGATGGTTTCTTGATTTACAATATTGCCAACCTCTATTTTCATTCTATCCAATATCTATATCACAGATTCCTTCATTATGACCTTGGCCACATCCTGTATCATGATGATCGATGCAACACATCGGTTTAGCACACTAGCCACATCTTCTGCCACTGCAAAATTATTGTCATACCATAATACAAGGGAACAAAATAAAAACAGTGGAGTCAAGATATAAAATTGAGGAGTGCTCAGTTCTAGGAGAGAGTAGTGTGAGCTTTTCAGAACATAATAATTAGAAGGAGCAGGGAATTTGTTCCTTTAAGCCTGCACCACCATTAAAGGAGGTCATGGTTTTTGATTTCATTCCATCTTCAACGTCCAAAAATCTGTTGATTTTTATCTCAAAACGTACTCAACAACTGAGAATCCAGTGTATAGCTGAGAAAATTCTAAAGATTCAAAGGCGAAGAAATGCAATACCTCAGACCTAAGTGGCTGATCTCTTATTCTGACACTGTGACCTCATATTCCAGATTCCCCAGGTCGGGGATGCATTTTCTCAGCATCTACCTCGTTAATTTTCTTAAAAACCTGGCGCTTCAATTATCTCCTCATTCATTCTTCTAGTAACACAAGAAACAGATGGTATTGCAACAAGACATGCCTTTTCTCAATTTGAAATAATTTATGATTTCTAAACACTGATGCCAACTGAATAGAAACCACAAAACGCTGTGGTACTTTCCAAATTTTTACTTTTCGGTTTTTTGGCAATCACTGAGAATTGCAGATCTGAGAACTCTCCAAAAGTACAGCTACCAAGAACAACCCACCTTTCAGTTGATTGCCCTTACACACTTATGAATCACAACTAGCAATGGAACAATGTTTTTTTTGAGAGAGAAATAAAAAGGAGGGAAGCTTACTGCTCAACAAGTTAAAAAATACCTACTGGGACCTTTTGTTTTAGTTTTTATGTCTGATGTGTCATGTACTCCAAACAGCACGAGACAAAATAAAGCTCCTTATTCATTTAACATTGTTCTGAATCTGTGATATTTCAACTTCCAAATTAATATGCTACAAGCATATCAATGGGCAAGTTTTTCATAATGTCTTCTGGTTACAAAAGTATACAATACAGAAGCAGCCCTTTGGCACATCAAGCCTACATTCCCAAAGCTACACTAAATTCTCATTTACTGTTAAAATATCTTGGAATCATGAATTTTAATGTGATGTGAGCCAAATTAGAACCATAAAATAGCAATCTGCATATACAAATTTCAAAAATCCTTCTGATAACAATTAAGACAAAAAAAATGAACATGCTGGGAATGATATATCCCCACTTTGAGACTCAGATTTTACTGGGCCCACGGGACCACATTTAAAGTTTAAATCCATACAGCCATTAATCTGTAGCCATCTAAAAGGCACTAACACAGTTGCAAATCTTGGTTTTCAGATTTATGACTTCACAACCAACAAAGCAGAAGACCATAAGACATTGGAACAGGAGTAGTCTGTTAAGGCCCTCCAGCCTGCTCAACCATTCAATAGGATCATGGCTGATCTGACATTCCTCACGTCCACTTTTCTGCCCTTTTCCCCGTACCCCCGAGTCCCCTATTGACCAAGAGCCTATCTCAGCCTTAAATATACACAAGGAATCTGCCCCCACAGTTCTGTGGCAAGGCATTCCAAAGACTCATAACACTCAAAGAAGAAATTCCTCCTCATCTCAGCCTTAAACTAAGGCCTTTAATTCTGAGACTGAGACCTTCTGGTCTTAAACTCTTCCATGAAGGGAAACATCCTCTCAGCAGTTATCCTGTTAAGTCTCATTAAGAATCCTATACATTTCAATGAGATCAACTCTTATTCTTCTAAACTCCAGTGGGTAGAGTCCCAACCTGTTTAGCCTTTGCTCATAAGGCAATCCCTCCAGGGATCTTCCTAGTAAACCTATTCTGACTGTCTCCAAAAAAAGAAATGGGCCTTTCCTTAAGGGGACAAAAAACTGCTCACAGTAATTTTAGACATGGTCTCATCAGGACCTTGTACAGTTGTAGTAATAAGGGCCAACATTCCTTTAGCCTTCCTGCTTACCTGCTATACTTATGTGCCAGCTTTCTGTGTTTTGTGCATAAGTCCCCCCAAGTCCCTTTGCGTTGCAGCTTTCTGCAGATTTTCTCCATTTAAATAATATTTTGTTCTTTTGTTCTCCCTTCAAAATGAACAACTTTGCATTTTCCATTTGCCAACATTTTGCTTACTTACCAAGACGGCGCAACATCGTGGGCCAAAGGGCCTGTACTATGCTGTACTATTCTATGTTCTACTTAGGCTATTGAGAACAAACCTTTTATTAAAGCCTCTAAACTTTGGAAACTTCAAATAAGTGAACAAAGAAAGCATATAACCTTGAATAAAAGTGAATTTCCTCAGCTTTAAAAGGGCTGGAAGCACTGTTTGAGAAGGTTTTAAAAGACACTATACTCTAATACATGTTATTAATAATTAGTGCTCAAATGCGATCACAAGAATATAGAAGTGACAGAATAATAAGGCTCACACCAAGACATTGTGTCATCAATAGAGTAGAAAATACAACAAGATAAAAAACAAAAGCTGCAGGTCTTACATCTCAATTTCTGTTTCTCTATTTTGTATTTTCATCCAGTTGTTTTCCGTTCCTTGAAAGGTGAAGCCCAATCTGACAGGAAAAATAAATGTTTAGGTTTAGATTTACCACTTATCCCCATAATGCTTTCTAGTTTACTGCACATAATAGAGAACAAAATTTAAAAAAAACTGAAATATCAAAAAAGGTTGGCCTGTTAGGCACCAAAAAAATTTCAAATCCTACCACTGTTTTTGTAACGATTGATTGCAACACATATAGTCTATTAACTACATGACTACACCAATGTAATAATTAAAGTGACAGTAAAGTCCCCATGGTCCTACTGGACTACAGGGCTACTCTCAGAGACTGGTGGTGGTTTAACCTGAGGTTCACCACACCTCAGGCAAGAGAGAGGTTGAGAAAGAGAATCCATCATAGTAACCTCAGCAAGTGCAGGAATTGAACTCATGCTGTTGGTGTCACTCAACATCACAAACTAGCCAAGCAGCCAGGAGGTAATTAATCCCAAAATGTAACAATTATTACACCAAGCACTTATTTGAACCGCAAACCAAAACTATTTAAAAGTTGTCCACTTTAATCATTTTTAACCAATAAAAAATCTCACCATCAGACTGCCAGTGCACTTTTTAAGCAATGATAAAAGTGGCAGCGAATGCAGAGATCTGGTGCACAAAACATGTGGGGTAACAGACCAGAATTAAGGTCCTAATGTCAAAATGCAGGAACTAAGCTTTTAGTTACTTATCAAATGCCAAGACCCAAGTACTTGATTAAAGTCACTGAAGTAATACGAGCTGTTTTTCTACATGTGTTTTTCTTACTACACAAAAAGATATTTTGAAAATGCAGCAAACACAGCAGAAAGGAGCAGTGATAAAAAGATGACTGCATGTACCCTCAATGCAATCGAGACAATGTTCTAATGGCGGTGATTACAAGAAAATGAGAAGGAATAAAGGTTGAACAGACTTGCAAATCTAACACGCTGAACTCCAGTTTATTCTTCCTTAAGAACAAACACAAGGGAGAGCGCTTGATTTTCTTTGTATTCTTACCATTATTTCTTTAATTGAGATATCCATACTCTAAATAAAAACAACAGACACCACGCCCTTTTGAAAATAGTTTGATTCTTACTTTTTAGCACCTTGTACCAAAGCAACTTCATCTGGAGATGATGAGATATATGTACACAGGCCCCCTTGCTGCTTTAATAGACCATCTACTTTGTCTTCTTCTTTTACTTGAACAGTGTGGCATAGGCATAGAGCACGAAGAAACAGCTCCTCTTTTTCCTGAAAGCACAGTAAGAAATGCCGCCAAAATGAAATTTAAAATAACATGCAAGCCCAAGTTAAAAGAAAAAAACGACAGTTTTAAAGTAATTTTAAATGGCTCAATGAATTGCTACTACACAAATTACCTCATGATGTGGACGTGCCAGTGTTGGAATGGGGTGGACAAGGTCAGAAATCACACGACACCGGGTTATAGTTCAATAGGTTTATTTAAAAAAAAAACAAACACAAGCTTTTGGAGCCTCGCTCCTTCTTCAGTTGTTTATGAGAAAGGTGGTATCAAACACAGAATTTGTAAGTAAAAGATCAAAGGATCACACCACTGATGAGGATATATTAAACAAACCAAAGATGCTTTTAAAACTTTAATCAGTTAGAAGATTTGAACTGATTAATATGTATATGTAAATCCCTGAAGTCCTTTCAATTCACTGCCCTGAGAAAACTAAAGGTTTTATTAGTGTAAAGAAGAGGTAACATTTTAGGTCAGGCAATGCATGTGTGAGGTATTGTTTAGAATCTGTGTTTTGGTTTGGAGTCAGACTGGTTTTATTTTTAAAGTAAGAATTTATAAAATGCCACATTGACTGACTGTCTATAAATTGTGTGCTTTTTGAACAAAATGAAATGTATCTGCAAATACAAATTCACTCCATAGATTCACACGTGTGCGGGCATGTGCACATGCGCGAGAGGGGGGTAAAAGTGTGTGTGCACGCGCATGCATGTATAGTGTGGTGAGGTCACCTACAGCGTAACATGAACCCAAGAACCCGGTTGAGGCCGTCCTCATGGGTACCGAACTTGGCTATCAGCCTCTGCTCAACGACTCTGCGCTGTTGTGTATCCCGAAGTCCGCCTTGGAGGACGTTTACCCGAAGATCCGAGGCCGAACGTCTTTGACCAAATTGCTTCAAGTAAATCGCTCAAAGCATTCACCAAAAATTTACAGGACTATGAGAGAAAAACTAATTCGACAACTTTCAAAAAGCCAGCACAGGCACATTGACTCAAGTAGCCTCTTTCTGTACTGTATCATTCGACGGTTTTATCTTTCGTTTCCGTACTCATTTCCAAATCATAATCTTTTTGCCTTGTACCACATTACTGGTGAAATTTAATTATTCTGCCCCATCATAGACTGTTCCAATTTGTTTTTTCCTAGCTTGTTTTTCCTGCCTTTCTCTTGGTTTAGAAACTCTTCACCTCAAACATCTTCCATTTCCGATTAAAGTTTATCTATCTGAAACAGCAACTTTTTACAAAAGTCGTCTGACCGGTTGAGTACTTCCAACACTTTGAAACTGAAATAAAAACAAAGTTAGCTCCCACACATTGTTTATGCTGTTTCTTTCCTGTAACTCGCATGTTTTCAGACTAATTCTGCTCCAAGCAGAGCTAAGCATCTTGCACAATCATGAACACCACAATTATCTAGCGGGCACCTGAATCAACTTGCCAATAAAAAATACTCACAGCTGAACAGAATCATTTGTTCACAAAGAAGCATCTTATCATTCACAAAAAAATGTGGTTGTTTTACAAAGATTTCTTCTTCTTTACTGCAATTTTTTGTATGAGCCAATGTTTTTGTCAATATTGAACAAATTAAGAAATCTGCATTTTATTTGAAACATCATATACTTTATTGGACAACTATATTTCTCTTCTTTTCTACATTTGCTTTAAAATGGATTTTTCTCAGCTAATGTAAAGCAGACTAGATAAATAACTCACTGCATTAGAGTCAGAGTTCTACAGCATGGACACAGGCTCTTCAGCCCAAACTGGTCTATGCTGACCAAAATGTCCATCCATGCTAACCCCATTTCCCTGTACTTGGTCCATATCCTTCAAAACCTTTCCAATCCGTGTATTTGTCCAAATGCCTTTTAAATATTGTTAATGTACCCGCCTCAACCACTTCCACTGGCAACTTATTCCATATGCATATCACCCTCTGTGTAAAAATAGCTGCCCCTCAGGTTCCCATGTATTCTTTCCCCCCTTACCTTAAGCTGATGCCCTCTAGCCCTCAATTCCCCAACCCTGGGAAAAAGACTGAGTGCATTCACCCTATTCATGCCTCTCATGATCTTATACACTTCTAAAAGATCCCCCCTCAGTCTCCTATTCACTAAAGGAAACAATCCTAGCTTGTCCAACCTGTCCCTATAACTTAATCGCTTAAGTCCTGGCAACATCCTTGTAAATTTCTTCTGCACTCTTTTCAGTTAAGTAACATCCTTCCTATAGTGAGGTGACCAAAACTGAACACAGTACTCCAAATGTGGCCTCAGCAACGTTCTGTACAACTGCAACATAACTTCCCAACTATACTCAATGCCTTGACTGATGAAGGCCAATGCGTCAAAAGCCTTCTTCACTGTCCTGTCTACCTGTGACTCCACTGTGGCACCATATTTCTTTGAACGTAGACCACTCCGATCAAATCCTTTTCCTTAAGCAAAACATCCAAGTTACACAAGTGAAACCTCTCACTCCACCCACTAACCTGTGGAAACACAAGGCATCATCTTTTTCATGTCAGGGGTGCCGAGGGCAACTATCATTTGTCACAGTTGAGATCAGTTAAATGTAAAAAACATCTTGGATTGAAAGAGCGTGCTTCTTGATCTCCGTGACTTGATCATTCCCATTTCTCACCACAAACCCAGTGCCACTGGACATGTCAAAATTATATCCCTCTGAAAACCGCAGAATCTACGTGCTTCTGAAGCACAGAATTACATGTACACAAATGATGGATTTAAAAGTAACCGGGGTGGCAATTTAGTTGTGAACAACAGTTGACAAGGCCCAACTTTAACAAAGGGCCACACCAAACAGGCCCACCAATCTACATTTCATTTCTTTCCCTCTTGCCAGGGAAGTTGAAGTGGTAACTTAATAAATATATGTAGGTTACATACCATGGCTGCATGATATCTCATGGTCATCCCCAGGATTGTAGCCTTTTGCAGTCTATTGATAAGCTACCTGCTAGCCACATGTAAAACAAGTATTTCTGAATGGAATTGGCACCAGTGAACTTGGGGTCACCCAATATTTCCTCGGTGGTTTGAAATTGGAGTTGAACTCTCAGCACCAATGTTTTTTTTGCAGTCTGTGCATTTCCCGCTCCTAGTTCATTTCGTTTAATTTCATTTTGAAAGCTCAAGCCGTTTAACAGACCACTATCCATATACTAAATTAAGCAACAAAAGACTTCGAGATTTAAAAGGGTTTTAATGTAAATTTATAGTTTCGTTCAAACATCAATTTCCACATCTCCCTTCTGGATCTTTTCTGTGCAGAAGCTAACCCTCAACTAGGGAGAATCTCAGCTCTTTCTTTATATATAAACAAACCCACTGCCCAATAGAAATAACCCAAAAGAACTTTTGTTTTAGAAATAAACCTACCAGCAATTAAAGTAAACATGCAACGGACAAATAACAAATATTGCCCCCAAGAGTAGTATCACAAAAATAAACAAGACTCAGATATGTGGTCTCCCACCCAATTCTCTCAGAAACTGCGACACACCATCATGCCAACTCCAGCGGGTTCCTTTAATCTGCCCATTAGATCAGATAACCAAAAAGTTTTGTCCAAGAGTTAGGTTGTAAGAAGTGTCTTAAACAGGAGGGAAGTGAAGTAGTGAGGCAGAGTCTACTGAAAAGCTGAAGTCCTAAGCAAAAGGTACTATCACCAATAGTAGAGCAAATAAAACCGAGGATGCACAAGAAATCAAAATTGGAGGAACACATTTCAGAGATTTGCAGTCTGGAACAGATTACAGACGAAAATTATATTTAAAAGTAGGTAATAGCAGATAAAATACTGTTACCTTTCCAGCCATTCCACAGATTCTACTGCAAGAATCATCACTTGAAGAGATTCCATCCACAACACACGAATCAATGAAGTTTTTATACTTGAATCCATCTATGCAACATTCAATAAATTCCATGTTGTTCTCTGTCAGGGTTCCAGTTTTATCTGTGAAAACATACTGGATCTGCAAGCAGACAGATGGGAAATAAAAGACAATAGACACAATTAAAATCGCTGCAGCTCAAGACACAATACAGAAAAGTGTAACATGCTTTGGATGACCATATTCTACAATATTTGCAAATTCGATAAACAGCAAAATAAAATTTTGATTATGTTTTTCAATACTAAACAATCAAAGCATGAATCAGCAAATGGTAGAAGTAAATGGGAAGAAATATTCCTGGAAATAGAAATGTTACCCCACTGTTTAAGGTGAAAGAGAAAACAGGGAATTCCAGACCTACTAGTTTTACATCAGTTGTTGGGATATTACTGTAATCTATTACAAAATGACGTGATAAACGGATATTTGGAGGATAGTGACCTAATTGGGCATAGCACAGACGTGCGAGTGAGAAATTGTGTTTAACAAACTTGGAGGTTTTTGAAAAAAAGTTAACAAAATTGATAAAGGAGAGCTGATGGACGTACAGTAACATCCCCATTTTCTGGGATTCTCATGCAACCAGTAACTGACAGGATGAGGTTGCCTCAGTCTGGGAACAAATTGCCTGGTTATTGACCCTGAAGAAGGGTCTAGGCCCGAAACGTCAGCTTTCCTGCTCCTCTGACGCTGCTTGGCCTGCTGTGTTCATCCAGCTCTACACCTAGTTATCTCAGATTTTCCAGCATCTGCAGTTCCTACTATATACTGCCTATTTGGTTGCTTTATCTCAGCAAGGATATTATTGCCACATAGATAGCGCAACAAAGGGTCACCAGGCTTGTTCCCAGGATGGCAGGACAAACTGGGCATGAATTCTCTCGGGTTTTGAAATACGAGGGCCAATCTTATTGAAACCTACGAAATACTCAGATAGCTGGGATAGATGCAGGTAGAATGTGTTTGAACAGGATTCATACTGGACTCAAAACTTTACCTTTGTTTCTCTCTCTGCAGAAGCTAAAAGTTTCTCAGATATTCCATTTTTATTTCAGAATTATCCCCTGCTTGGGGAGTCAAAGAACCAATGGCCACAATTTAAAAATAAAGGGAAAGCCATTTAGAATGGAGATGAGTCGAAGCACTTTTACTCAAAGGGTTGTGAATCTTTGGGATGTTCTCCCCAAAAGGCTTTGGAAACTCAAATCTTTAAGTTTAAGTTTAAGGTAGAGATTGATAGATTTCTTATTAGTAGTGGTGTAAACGGTTATAGGAATGGTATGGGTAAAAGAAATTGAAGTGTTTTATCATCCACGACACGTGAAATAGCATAGCAGGCTTGACAGGTGAATGGCTGGTAGTTGAATGGCAGACACCCGTTCTTAAAATGTTCAATTTAATGAAGAAAATCACTCTTCATGCAAGACAAACTCACAGGGAGATACAATTGATCACTCTTAAGAACAGTTACTGGAGTAAATTGAATTCTGTGAAACCATAGCTGCACCTTACCCTGCTAAAATTACAGTTGTTTGCAAGAGAATTTTTAACGCAGAAGGAACACAAAATGACAATTCTATAAAGAAGCACCCAGTATGTCACAACAAATATGTACTTTGCTACAGACCTGTCCCAGCTCCTCATTCAGATCAGATGTGTTTACCAGTGCGCCTTCACCCAAATGTTCATCATACATGTCCTTATCCCATGTAATGAAGTAAGAACCCAAGAATTTCTGCATTTCCACAGTGACGTACATAGAAACTGGAATAATGAAGTTGAAGAGCACCATGTAGGAGAGGAAGTCAATGAACATCTTCACAAGCTGTAAATAATGCAGTCAATTAGCTGAATGTTCAGAAGACTGCTCAGCTGCTTATTTTACCAGCTTCCACGTACATTTTTAAGGTTCTACATTTCTCCTCAATTGGAACTAAATAAAACTAAACACGCAATTAGGCTTCAACCGAATGATTGTAATAGGGGACTCTTATCTAGGGCACAGACAGATGTTTTTGCAGCCTTAAGCGAGACAGGGTCAAGGGTGTCTCAGAGATGGTGTAGAATATTCTGAAAAAAAAAGGAAAAAACGACCAGCAGGAGGTCGTTGTGCATGTTGGTACCAATGGCATAGGTAGGGAAAGGTTTGAGGTTCTGCAGAGAGAATGTAGGAAACGAGGCAGGAGGTTAAAAAGTAGGTCCTCGAGGGTAATAATATCTGGACAACTACAGGTGCCACGTGTAGCAAGAGTTGGAATAGGAGGATACAGTAGATGAATGCATGGCTTTTTCTTTATTCATTCACAGGATGAAGGCATTGCTGGCTAGGCTGCATTTATTTCCCATCCCTAACTGCACAGGGTGCAATTAAGAGTCAACCACATTACTGTGGGTCTGGAGTCACATGTAGGCCAGACCAGGTAAGGATGGCAGTTTCCTTCCCTAAAGGACATTAGCGAACCAGATGGGTTTTTCCTGACAATTGACAATGGATTCACTGTCAATTCTCAATTCCAGATGATATTTATGGAATTCAAATTCCACCATCTGCTGTGGCGGGATTCGAACCCAGAACATTATCTGGGTCTCTGGATTAACAGTCCAGCAACAATACCACTAGACCATTGCCTCCCCTAAGGAGCTGAGGGGCTAGTGCAGGGAGCAAGGATTTACATTTTTTGATCATTGGAATTTTTTCAGGGACAGAAAATGACATGTATAAGAGGGATGGGTTCCACCTGAACTGGAAGGAGACCAATATCCTTGTAGGGAGATTTGCTCGTGCTACTTGTGAGGTTGGAGGCTAGTACAGGAGGTAAATGGGGAGCAATTCTAATAGTCAGAGCAGACAAGAGCTTGGCAGAGAACAAGGTAAGACTGATAAATTAATCGCATTTACTTCTACACAGGAGGCCTGACAGAAAAGGCAGATGAATTTAGGGCATGGTTGGGAACATGGGACTGGGATATAGCTATTACAGAACTGTGGCTCCGGAATGGACAGAACTGGAGCTTCATGTTTCGGGGTATAAATGGTGCTGGTGTTGGACTGGTAGAGAAGGTCAGAAATCACACGACACCAGGTTTTAGTCCAACAGGCTTATTTGAAAGCACGAGCTTTCAGAGAGTAGTCCCTTCATCAGGTGAAGTGAGCAAGAAGGACACAGAACACAGAATTTAAGTAAAAAGATCAAAAGGGTCACACAGCTGATGAGGATGTATTAAACAAACCTAAGATGCTGTAAAATCTTTATTCAGTTAGAAAGTTTTAATTAATTAATATGTATAAGTAAATATGCATACAGATGCTACAGGAAGGACAGCAAGGGAGTCAAGAGAGGAAGGGCAGTGGCATTTTCTGTTAGGGATAACATTGCGGCTGTACTTAGGGAGGATATTCCTGGGAGATCGTCCAGTGAAGTTTTATAGAATTTCACAGAATTTCATAGAATCCCTACAGTGTGGAAACAGACCATTCGGCCCAAAAAGTCCACACCAACACTCTGAAGAACATCTCACCCAGACCCATCCCCCTACCCTATCCCTGTAACACTGCATTTCCCATGGCTGACCCGCTTAGCCTGCACATCCCTGAACATTATGGGCAATTTAGCATAGTCAATCTAACTTGCACATCTTTGGACTGTGGGAGGAAACCGGAGCCCGATGGAAACCTACGGAGACACTGGGAGAACATGCAAACTCTACACAGGCAGTTGCCCAAGGGTGGAATCAAACCCGGGTCCCTGGCGTTGTGAGGCAGCAGTGCTAACCATTGAGCCACCGTGCTGGCCGTTATATGGGTGGAACTGGGAAATAAGAAAAGTGAGTAACAATTTAGCAGTGAAAGCTCTTGTTCACTCAATGGATTTCTATGTGACCGCATTCAGGCGAAGTAGGCATTCAGCAGTGTACTCTCCTGCAGCTTCGAAGTGCAGGCCATACATTTGCCAATTCAAATACCTTTCTTGAAAGTTACACGTTCTGTCTCTACTAAAACATGCAACTCTGGGACAGTCATTTAGTTCACATTAATCTGGAAGCAAGATGACGAACTCATGCAAAAAAAAAAAAAAAAAAAAAAAAAAAATCAAGCCCAGGGACCTAAATAGCAGGCATACAGTCATTGATTACTACATCACAAATCAATCGGAGATAATTATGTAATGGGATGTGTCGTCTTGGATGTTTAACCATGGAAGAACCTAAAGAAATAACTCTATTACATGTTAGCAGCATTGTTCTCTTAGATCAGTCGGAAAATGAACAAATTACAATTGCTTCAAAATTCTAATCAGTCAATCTCATTGTTTAAAATAGGAGAACTGAGCAAAAACACACAATGCTATTATAGTGGAGTTGGTTGACTGAACAAAACAGTTTTATTCTCTCAAAATCTCTTTCAAGTATTTGTGTCTTTCCCAACAGCTGCGCAACTACATTGCACGGACTGCAACGGTTCTAGAAGGTAACTTAGCACCACCTTCTCAAGGGCAATGATGGATAGAAAACAAATGCCAGTGATACATCACATACAAGAATTTTCACCATTATATTGTTGGTATACTTTAACAGAGATCTTTTTCATTGTGAGTCATACCCTTTATTGTTTTGATAGTTTATAAAAATTGAACCAAGGACAAAATTTGGAAAAATGTCTTTTCTTTGTCATGCATAACCTCTTCTTTTCCCCCAATATATTATGTTAACAGAGCAGGAAATGTGGATTTGAATTAATAAATTGCTGGTGAAGAAATTTCATTAGCAAGTGATTAATTGTAAAGAGAAAACTAACACTTGCAGGCTTTGAGAAATTATACCAACCTCACATCTTTAATCCCAACTGAGCTGAGACCATCACGTCACAGAAACGAAAAAAAATCATAATTGCTCCAGAATAGCAGTAATTGTGAAGTGCAAAAATGCTGCAGATTTCAGTGGATTAGCTCGTACCATACAGCTTCTTTAGTTAAGAACATTCCCTTCTTGCGTTCTATGTTGGTGTGCATTAATAGCTTGAAAATGACCATCAATACCTCTGACAGTAAACTGCAAGCTTACTCAGGTTCTGCTCACTCTGACATATGGTGACAGTGTTCATAAATCTAACATGAACAGCAAAGGGAAAGGATCTTAAGTTATTAACAAAAACAAAATCGCTGGAAAAGCTCAGCTGTGGCAATAAATCAGAGTAGACGTTTTGGGTTGAGTGATCCTTCCTCAGTTCTGAGGACTGTTTTCCAGAACTGACGAAGGGTCACTCGACCCAAAACATCAACTCCGCTTTCTCTCCATTGATGCTGCCAGACCAGCTGAGCTTTTCGAGTAATTTGTTTTTTTTTGATTGATAGCACCCACAGTTCTTTTGGTTCTTAAAGTTATATTTAGATTTATTAGAAGGTTATCAGAGTAGATATAACAGGGTAGAAAGAATTAGGGAAAGAATGAAGAAATAACAAAGGAAGACAGAGCACAATGAATTGGAATTTAAACAACTTTAATCAATAAAGTATTCAATTGTGCAAGTTAAAAATAAAGTTAATTGAGACATTTGGGCAATTGAGAAATACTATGACAAATGTTAATACAACAACAATGCTGCACCAAAAAAAAACTCAGCTAGTACTTGGAGACAACTGTTTCACTGGAACTGCCACGATGTGAATTGTGATATGAAAACATTTTCCAGCTTTGCAGATAAAAATGAATTGAATTTATTCCAGTACCTGGTTAGTATCTTTCTCTTTGCCCGTTTTTGAACTATACCAAGGCTCATCATTAGCAGGATCACTTTGCCAAATGTACTTCAATGTGGTGCCTATCAAAGATTTACTGACCAATATGCACAAGTACACTATTAAAAAAACATTAATGGACCTGCAAGGCAATAAAAAAAAACCAAATCATATTTGTGGTTATGATTTTTAATACTAATAAATGAAACTATAAAACAAGTTTTGATTTTTAAATTGCCTTCAATCATTGCAACATGTAAATCTAGTAATTCTATTAAGGAAGTGAATCTAGCACTTGTCAGTTCTGACTCAGTCATTTTCTGCTGTCCCTTTCTCAATTACTCTAATTCTGTCTTGACATATTCTGGTCAATTTTTCTGGCAACTCAGCATTGATTTGATCTCTACTGTAACGGTTCACCTGTCTTATGTTAATACATTACCTAGTTTTTTTGCCCCACTATTTCTGTGCCCAAAGTCTTTTGCAACATCTCTACTCCATTATTTCACTCTATGTAGTTCACAATCTATAATATCCTGTGGCAGCAAAGAAAACTTGTTTAGAAAGTCAGTATTTTTATAGATCATCTTGCACTATAAAATAATTATCTTGCATTAATAGTTTTCTTTCGATTATTATATCAAAATAATTAAAAATACTATTGCACAAAATTTTCCAAGATTGGAGTCAGTGTCTTTACTTTTTAATTCCTGGTAGTATTTGAGCATTATTACAACATTATGAATTAGATAACAATTTTGTTAACCTCCAATAACTGCAGTTAGTGGTATAATGATTGATTTGAAATTCTATGCCAAGAAAGAGGACAGTACATCATCCCTCCCACTGACCCTTGCTAAGTACAGAACAAATATGACCAAATATTCCATGAAAAATATTGCTAGTAGTGGTAGCAGTAATGAAGCTCGAAATAATTTTCAAAATCTACATGCATAGGTTCGAATGAAATACATAATTCTTAAGAATGTAATTACTTTTCTACTACTGAGCGTTTCTGTGACTTTCCTTGGTAGTTCAAGGCCATTTTTGTTTCCATTCCAGTATATACAGCAACACCTGAAATTCACAGTCGAAAAGGAATGCTTATTACTCCGTGTAGATAAATGTATAAATGTTGAAACATCCAATAAGTCATTTTATATTAAGTTCAATGAAGCCAGGATAGTCCACATCGATAGGCCTCAAAAGCATATCCATAATGATACTTATAACTAAATAATTATCTGTGCAACAGTGATCTGTCCAGATAGAATTATTTCACAAAAGCTAGTACAAACGCTTACCGTATATCTTGTCAGTGTTCTTTAAGGTGGCTCCTCTTAACAGCAGATTTTCAGGGCCCAAAGATCTAACATAAATAAATAAATCTCAGTTTGGAAAAAGAAAAATCCATCCAATAAATAAAATTCCATGCAGGTCTAAAACACAGCCAGGAATCCAATTAAGAATATTTGTACACAAGTTAGAAAGTGTGTATATTTGAGCATCCTATTCAATGCCTGCAGGTGTGTTTTCAAAATACCTCTTCAGTACCAACAAAACATCATAATTTGTTTCTGATTCATTCAAAGGATATAGGCTTTGCTGGCTGGAAGAGCATTTATTGCCTGACCCCAATCATTCTTGAGCAGCTAATAGTCATCTGTCTTGTTCAACCACAGCAGTTCATTTTGTACAGGTATATCCTCAATACATTTTAGAATTGAGTTCCAGGACTCTGACCCAGTCAAAAATGAAGGAGCAGCCTTCCAAGTCAGGATGATGAGTAGCTTGTTGGGAAATTGCAGGTGGCAGTGTTCCCATGTACCTGTTGGCCTTGTCCTTCTGGATGGTCACAGTCGTGGGTTTGGTAGGCGCTTTGGAAGCCTTGGCAAATTTGAGCTGTGCATCTTGTAGATGGTACACACTGCTGCAACTTGGTGTCATGATGGAGGCAATAGATGTGGTGCCAATCAAGCAGGCTGTTTTGTCTTGGATGGTGTTGAGTATCGCGGGAGCTGCACTCATTTAGGCACGTGGAGAGCTTTCCATCATACTCCTGATTTGTGCCTTATGGATAGCAGACTTTGGAGAGTCAGGATGTGGGTCACTAGCTTCAGAATTCCTTGCCTCTGACTTACTCTCATAGACCATATTTATAAGTCCAGTTCAGTTTCCAGTCAGTGCTAATTTCCAGCAATTTGACAGTGGGGGATTCAGCAATCATTATATCATTGAATGTCCATGGACAGTGGTTAGATACAGACTTGTTGGAGATGGTTATTGCCTGTCACTTACAGTGCACCAGTGTTACTTGCTGTTTGTCAGCCCAAGCCTGGATGTTGCAAAGACTTCCAGTAGTTGGTCATGAAACTGAATCAATTCAACCTGCTCGGTCAGTGATTTGCACGTCTGATGCAGGAATTTAACAAGCTACAAGTAGTTTATCATTATATTTTAGAGAAAATCCTAATGAATAAATATGTTACATGACCAGAACATTAATCAGGGAATTTTGTTTTCAGACAAACACTTTCAGTATAAAGTTCAAGGTTTCAACACTAACATTTGAAAAATCGATGTTAATAGGAATTACTTGCTCAGTTTAGGATAAGTAGTAAAATTGGCTCTAATCTCCACCCCACCAACACAACACATCCCAGAAGCCAACGTATAGCCCCAGTGTAAGCCTGGTTCACTAGATGGGAAACCATTTATACAGTGCACAGTAAGATTAACCATTTAAATAGAATTATGATCAAATGTTGTAACAAGTACCTTGCAACTGGCTCTTGTTTATCACTGAAAACATGAACTCGTCCAACAAACCTGTAAATGATCAAATTTCGCATTAGAGTGGCATAATATTGTTTCAAAACCAAAAAAATGCTCCATCAGCTTTAACCAGAAGTTAGTAAATTATCTGGAATTCTTTACCTCAGAGTTATGGAGGCTAGATTACTGATGTAGGAGTTCAGGCCTGGTGGAGATCGGCCATGATTTTGTTGAATGGTGGGGCAAGCTTGAGGGGCCAAATGGCCTACTCCTGCTCCTGTTTCTTAGGTACTTACAGTTTTTACTTTATTGTTACGATTCATATTTAGCCTCCCTAGGATAACAAAAAAGCTGCCAAAATACTCTCAATTTGCAGTGTCAACTGACTACACATGAATTTCATGAAATATAAAAAACAAAACATGATGTCATCTTAAATTTGAGGAATTATAAGATGCTGATTTGTTCTGTGGCACAGTGTTTAGACCTTCATTATTTTACTTTTCACTTTTGCCATTTCTGGCTTGGAGCTGTGAACTGAGCTGAGCTGAGCTGAGAGCTGAAGTTGACTTTTGGACTGTGAGCAGAAGCTGGTTTTGTTTTTCAAAAAAAAAAAACAAACTGATATGTGTTTATGAGGCCAGGCCTGGAAGTTAAGTGCAGGTTGATTGTTGTTCAAAGAACACTCTAGGGGTCTTGGTTGTGGAAACGCATTATGCTCTAGCAGTTGGCAGATGTTGAATGTTAACTGGGGCCCCAAGGGAGGCAACCAGTCTAACAAACAGAAAGCACGTTTTGAACTGGTTTTTGAACTGCGTTTAAGTCAAAAGGATCGTACCTGTGAAAGCTGAAGGACGGAGTTTTGACTGCTCCCTGGTATTTCCTCTCATTATCAATTAATTGAAAGTTCACGAATAGAATCTCAGTTATAAGTATTAAACGAATACTCCTTGGAGCCTACAGGAAGCTATCTGCACACATCAGCATCTTCAGAAATCAAGCTAGATACAATCCCACATGCTTGTGACGTTAGGGATTGTGGAGATTGCTTAAGTGACTGGCCGGTTACATGTGTTTTTTTTTTAAATCTGTTAACTGTGTCTATTTACCTTTGCGTGAGTGGAGGCAAAGAAGATAGGGTTTAAATCACAGACATTAATTACGAAGGTGTCGTCCACGTATCGTATCGGTAATTTTGGCTGGATTAGCGGAAGGGCTATGCTTTCGAGTCTCTGCATCAGCCATTAGTCCGAAGATAGGTGACCCCGTGGTTGACCCCACATCAAACCTACGCCAACTGCTAACCTGAACCAAAGACCCGTTACTCACTATGGACAGGGCCAAAGTGATATACAAGATCCCCTGCAAAGACTGCAACAAACATTACAACGGACAGACAGAAAGAAAATTAGCCACCAGAGTACACGAACATCAACTGGCAACAAAAAGACACAACCAATACTCACTCATCTCCATCCACGTGGATAAGGGAAACCACCAGTTTGATTGGGACAACACCAGGATCCTGGGACAGGCCAAGCAGAGACAAGCATGGGGATTCCTAGAGGCCTCATTCTCCACTAAGAAGGCCATCAACAAACACGTAGAGCTAGACCCCATATATAGTCCACCGCGAAGGAAAACCGGAAGAGAGGTAATCCAGCTCAACGGACCCCAGAGTTTAAATACCAGGTGGGAAAACACAACAGCACTTCATCGGAGGCTGCACTGATGATGTTACCCAGCAGGATAATGAAACATCTGCGGAACAACAAACCAGCTCTACAAGCCAATCAGTTGACTCTAATTTTGCCACATGCACCTTAAGTTTATGCCAGCCTCCTGGTGATGAAGCTCTTGATACCTATGGTTAATTGGCTTAGTTGTTACAATTATTCTATATTTTAGAAGAATGTTAAGTTCAAGCTCTACTTCAGGACTGGAGAGCAGTAACAAGGGAATGTTGCTTGCTGCACTCCACAAGAGACATTAAAATGAGCTATGTGATCAAGATCATGGTACACAAGACATTTTCCACTTATCCTGGTTAAGAATAGCCCCCATGACTAAAACCACATTACTGTGTTTAGTTAGTGTGGCTTTGCAGTGTTCCAATTTGATGCTGTTTTTGATTTTTATTTCTGAATTTATAGAACACGGCTGTCACTTGTAAGATCAGAATTTATAGCCTATTCATAACGGTCCAACTTCAATACAATGATTAAAAATAGTAACTACAGCTCCAGATCAAAGTGGTGCAGGGCTTGGAGCAAAACTGACAGCTGATGGTACTCGCATGTGCTGACTACCTTTATTCTTACAGGTGCTGGATGGTGTAGGTTTGGAAGGTGCTTTCAAAGGAGCCCAGGCAAGTAGGGCTTAGATCTGAATTTGTGTCTCTCAACTACTGATTCAGTAATACAAGCTACATTACTGTAACTCCTTGCTGACAGCAAGAACACACAAATTTCAGATATAACTCATTAAATGAAAGTATTTTTGGGCATTCTGAACATGTTATACAGACAAACCACTGGAATGTCTCATTTTTTTTCAAGCCATTTTTGATGCTATGATTCTCGTCAACTTTTAGCTTTCTCTCTTGGCTCAACGCCTTGGATTTTGTACTTAGATTTTTCCTAATTTCCCCACTAGACAGAAAATCGGATAAAATGTCTAATGCCAGTCAGGAGACTGCGAATTCTTGCACTCTGCTGGTATTGTATCTCATTACCAGTGAAGAGAAGTAGCCTTTATTCAACACGTGAGAAACATAATTCTCCAGCCTAAAGTAGTTTCACTTTGCAATGCAATTTAAGTTGACAATTGCTAGGGAAGGGAACCACAGTTGATTTCTTCCCTTGCTCCAATAAACTCAGATCATTAATACAACCCCAACTACAGCCGTGCAGAATCTAGTTTAAAAAACAGTTGATTGAATCTTCAGCTTCTGTACGGCTCAGTGGCAATAACATGCATTTACTTTAGTAACTCTAGCACCAATACACAACACATAAGTGGAGTATAATAAATGTGGCTCCCAGAAGGCTCTGTAGGCAATTACACCACATGATTCTTAACATGAGTCAACTACGACACTGCAGCTTGTAGACTGGGCATTTGATAGCCAAAATGCTCCTGCAATTGGGTGTGTGGGTGGGGGGGTGGGCGTGGATTCTGAAATCAAAAGCTGATATTGCCAATCAAGCTTAAAAAAACCCAAAAAGAACTGCAGATGCTGTAAATCAGGAATAAAACCACAAGTTGCTGGAAAAGCTCAGCAGGTCTGGCAGCATCTGTGAAGAAAAAAAAATCAGAGTTAATGTTTCAGGTCTGATAACCCTTCCTCTGAACCAGACTGGAAACATTAACTCTGATTTTTTTCCTTCTTCATAGATGCTGCCAGAACTGCTGAGCTTTTTCAGCAAATTCTACTTTTGTGCCAATCAAGCTGTCTGATGCATGGTCTCTGTAATGTAATGTAACTGTAATGGTTGCTGCAGGCAACCAGAATAGTGGCGACCATTTCATCACACTTAGCAAGCCCTGAATATGAAAAAGCTGCGCCACATCAGGCCATCCATCCAGTTAAACTTCTAGTGAGTGGTGACTCCTTCATTCTTAAGTCTTTTGAACTTAGATGCTAGTCTAATTAAAAGTCAGGTTGTGAGATGCCATGCCACAGCAAACTGTAACTCACAATGCCTGCAGCTCAGGTTTCACACATCCAATTGATGGCTCATGGTAAATCACAGTTGTTATGGGTTGCACATAAATCTTGCATATTTTTTATACAGCATCAGAAATTCATGGATATTTTAGCATAGAGAAACCTACCCAACATATTCTATTATGCTTTGTGAAAATAAAATTGATTCCATCATATGATAAATCAATGACTGTGACACTAAAATAACTTTAATTGATATTCCCACAGAAAGTAAAAACCAAAAGCAAATGATCAAGTGCATTAATAATGCAGAAAGGTGAATATCGTACCTAATGGAATTTGTACAAACTGCAAATTAAAACTGGCAGCTGGCTACTCAACACTAAAAATGGGTAGGATAGAAAACAGAATCGTGAAGAACTTATTTCCAAGGCTAAAAGCTAAATTATTTCATTATAAATGAACTGTACATATGCAATTAAAATGCATATTAAATATTCACATGGTCAGAATCTACATGAAAATGTCACTCGAGGCTTTCCATCAATGAAACCCAAATGAACTATGAAGTTCTCACTAGCATCATTGCTATACAGTGGAGTGATAGTGGACTGACTGCATAACAATGCAATCAGGGCCATCCCAGTTAACTGGGTCCAGCTGACAGCATCGTACACTGACAATATCATGAAACAGCTGGTGTATTACAGCCTGTATAGCAACTGCCTTAAATTAAGTTCCTGAGAATCCCACACTCAAACAAACAGTGGAAGTGGGCCAATCAATAGACTCATGCCTGTTTCCTCTGATAAACGCATGACTCCCATCACTGTTCTACGCCTTTTCAGAATCTGTCCAAAATATTTCCGATGACTTGGGTGAGTTTGAGAAGCACAAATAATCCTTAGCAGTGAACATGATTCCCAGTCATTATAGATAGCGCCGAGTCTAGGTTTGTTCAAGGCCACTCGAATGAATAGGTTCACACTGTGTGGATAAGGAACATCAAGATAACACCAAGGTAAGCCCCTTTTCAAGCTTGCTGCTTTTTACACCAACTTAAAAAGAGTGGGAGAAAGGGAGTTCAGAAACAAAATCTTCTGTTCTTTGTGGTCCAATTATAACTTGATTATAATAATCAGATAGAATCACATTTAAATAGAACACTACCTAAATATTGTTCACATTAAAGTGGTTCAAATTGATTAAATAATGAGGTTATTAGCAAAGGAGTCACATATAATTATTGAGCTTTTGGTATTAGATTGAGATTTTTTTTTTAGATTGACTCGACTACTTGAATCCGCCACAACACTTAAGAAAAGTGATAAATAGAAGGTTAAGCATTTATTTTGGGAATCCAACTTAACTGTAGCAGTTTCCC